ACAACAAGAACTTGCGGAAAAGCTGGAAGTAAGCCAAAAAGCTATTTGCGATCGTTTACATTGCATGGGAAAGATACAGAAAGAAAAGAAGTGGGTTCCACACAAACGATTTGATGATTTTGAAATTTCCAAAAATCAGCAAGTTAACAAAACTCAAAGCGCTATTGTAAAAATATATTCTTGAGACTAAATAGAGCAAAAAAGTCTAATATCACTTTTTCTTCTGGCAAAAAGTTAGCGAGATATCGTGAGTTAAATATTGAAAAAGTTATCAAGTTTTCATTAAATATCTCAAGAAATATTAGGTAAATAAAAAAATATTTCAGACAAAAATTGTTCAAATTAATTGCTAGAAAAAGATGATATAATAAAAAGTTGAGGTATCTATTTAAGATTTTTATGTTGATCTTGACTGGACTTTTCAAGATTATCCCAAGGTCAAATTCATAGCGTCAGTAAGTAGATCCTTTGAAGCCCTATAACTTTTGTATGAAATATTTTTCTCTAAAATGTCGCGTTAACGAAAGAATCGGGTGACCCGGGTGGTCTGGAACACCCGGTATATTAATCAAAATGTTACTGACTGAATAATAACTGTGATAAGTCACTATGACAGTACATCTGACAAGTAAAAAAGAGAAACTTCTTCGATGCAGTAGAGAAGAACAAATAGCGTCCTTGGCAGGATACGGAAATTTTGGCTAGAAAGAAGGACTATCCTTCTTGGAGGAGGACATCTGGCAACTCTAGGCCACATGGTACATCTTTGAGAAAATGGCTTGGGAGCTGTACGCGCGAATGAACGCGTCTGGCACGATCTTTCGGTATTATCGTCGCGGTATCATCAGACATCGCACTTCGTAATATTATTACCACCTGTTACGGGAGATAATGACCGCTCTTAATGCGTTTTAACGGATCCGCGGCGACGAGCAGCTCGCGCCGCGCCGAGCAAGAAAACACGATCCAAGGAGACTCTCATGTCCGTTGGCGAGCGATGGCGAAGACAAATCTCTTCTCGAAAATTGGAGGAATTTTGCGGTATCAGTGGATGCAATATACCGAAATTTAAAAAGTGAGACGGCTTTGCAAAGCCCGTTAACAAGCGGCCGCGAAAATATGTGTTTCTTCTTGAAAACTCTGAAGGAACTTTTCTTGGTGGATCTCTTGGCCCGAGAAAAAGATTCGCCAAGACTTGAGGAGTGGGAGAAAAATTTCCCGAGAAGTTTTAATATCAAAACGATCTGCCGAGATACAATTTTATGAAAATATTGAAATTGTTTCGTCACACAGGCAAGTTCGTTCTTGAAGAATCTCAAGGGACTTTTCTTCCTGGATAAATTGGCCTAAGAAAAAAATTTTTCGAAATTTGAGGAGTGGGGGGAAAGTTTCCTGAGAAGTCGTAATACCGAAACGATCTGCCGGAATACAATCTTATGGAAATATTGGGATTGTTTTTCCGCACAACCGAGTTCCTTCTTGAAGAATCTCGAGGAACTTCTCTTAGCAGATAAATTGGCTCGAGAAAAAAATTCACCGAAATTTGAGGAGTGGGGGAAAAGTTTCCCGAGAAGTCGTAATATCGAAACGATCTGCCGGAATATTGTGGAAATATTGGGATTGTTTTGTGACACACGCGAATTTCTTCTTGAAAAATCTGGAGGGGTTTTTCTTCCTGTATAAATTGACTCGAAAAAAAATTGGAGGAGTGGGGGAAAGTTTCTGAGGTTCTGAAAATTTTCTTGAGAAGCCATAATACCGAAACAATCTGTCGAGATACAATTTTATAGAAATATTGGGACTGTTTTGTCGCGCAGTCGGACGTATTGGTACTTCATTTTATACTCATTTGAATACAACAGAGTGTATACCGGAATGGGCAGACCTTAATACACCTGTGTGCACTGTTTCGGGGCTAATTGTTCCTCCTCGGAACAACGGCGGGAAAATCTCGCGATATTGCCTCAATATCCGGATTTCGGTTGCGCGACTTCTCGGGGAACTGCTCCACATTCCGAATTTCGAGATTCTGAGTTTTCAGGACAATGCACATGCCCGTCTCTTTCTCTTTCCCGTGAATGCTCCTCGCTGTAACGCGAGCGGACGTGTACTCGCGATACAGCGAAGGTAGAATTAGTTCTGTCCTGATTTCGAAGTTAATTAGTGACTCGTGCCTGGAACTTCAGACTACCCAATTCGATAACGGCCGCCGCGGTCGGTTCTTCAAACGCCACCTTCACTTTCGGATAGCGATTTGTGAGGCGCGACAACAGCGCGCGCGCTTTAACGACAGGCGGCGAGGACAACGAACAAGAGTCGCGCAGCTCGTACGTACACACGAGATACAATAGCAGATACACTCGTCTGTACGGATAATGAGGTTCGTGGAGACAGGCCGTTGCCCGACGCCTTAGAAATTCTTTAATGACTTCATGTCGCAGTGCGCGCACACCGAGATATGTCATTTAAGTTTCGTCCTCTGCGAGAGATCGCGCCAGAGCGTCGTGAGAAAAACGACGTTGAAGTTTGGAGCGTTCTTCGAGCGAAAATTGAAAATAGTCTTTATTTTACAAAAATCCACTTAATATAAATGTAAATACGTATAAAAGATAAATTTGTGTTAAGTATGACATGACATTATAAGACAAATTAAAATAAAAAAAAGAAAACAAGAAAGAAAAAATTTTCGAAATAAAAATATTTTGATATATTACACGTGAATATCAACGTCTTGTGATAAACATAAATGATACCGTTGCATTTCATAGAATTATTTTTAAAAGGAAAAAGTAGTTTTTAGCAGTCATGTCCCGAAAGTTTTGTCCTCCCCGAAAATTACGCATATATAATCATTGATACAGATGATAATTTCCACAGTCCGTCCCAGCACTTTGTGCCAGAAAATGATAGTGTATTTTTACTCTCTGGCACGTAGCAAAGTAGAAAAAAAAGGTTTAATAGCAATCGTGGCCCGGAACACTTTCAGCGAGACAGCGAGGGAGGCGTATTAAAGGCGTGGAAGAGGACTCATCTCGCTATCTCGGGAATTAACGAGGACTTCAGGAGCGCATAAAATATTCCGAGAAATCACGCCACCTGCGCTCGGAATTCAAACAACAATTATCGCTAAACATAAAATCGAGATAAGGTAAGAGGCATTCAAGCGGCATAAAATCGAGATAAAACCTCAGAAACAGCGATTGCGAGAGAGGGCGACAGCGCTCTCCCGCCGCATTTGATCCTGCGCGATTACGAGGAAAGCAAATTTGCGCAAACACGCGGCAACTATTGTCGCGCGAGAAAACGCGACGAGCCGGCCGTGTTTTTCAACCTCGAGCCTCGAAGAATGGCGTGTTAATACATACGTAACAGAGAACATCGCTTCCACTCCCCTATTATGCGGCTGATAAACTGACAGCGGGAAATAATGATCGTCATACACGGGCTAATTAGCTGTCCGGAGGAGCACACACGGTCGTGAAACAATGCCGGACGTCAATAAAGCATATCGGGCGTCGCGTTTGCTCGACGATGAACGATAAAGTCACGCCAAACAGATCACGGCAGCTCTCGCTTGAATACATTATCAGACTATAAAAAATACACGCCGTTATCGCATCGGCATATCTCTCTCCCTCTCTCTCTCTCTCTCTCTCTCTCTCTCTCTCTCTCTCGTGGCGTATCAAAATTTATTAACAGCCTCAGCCAAGCGCGAATCGTGTATTGTTGTAGTTCCTCACGTGTTGTTGCTCGCGCGAGAGACCGCTAATGTAACAAACATTACATCAGCCGCAGCGTGTACACGCACACACACACACACACATGCTTCTTTCAGAGGTAACCTCAAAGTGTCAAGTCTCTGCCTGTCGGTGATATACAGAAAAATATTACGCGCATGCGGAAGGTTACACATGTCAGCGATATTTACGCGTAACAAACTACGAAAGGAAATATCCTTTCAAAGATGGACAAACTCCCTCCCCTCTCTTTCTCACTCTCTCTCTCTCTCTCTCTCTCTTTCCTTTCCCTCTTCCCTAGGCAGAACGGAAAATCACGATCACATGTAAATGACGAGAAAATGACCGAATCGTGATGAAAAATGACTTTTCCTCATCATTTCGACGTCATCAGGATTTCCTGTCCTGCCTGGCTCGCCTTTGAAAATTTCACGAGTCCGAGATCGACGCTTACCTGAGAAACGCTCGTGAGAACCATAGCTCGCCGGCCGCGCGCAGATGTCCCTGGCGATTTCGCCGCTCCGAATCTACCGCTCCGAGATCCCTCACTCGTCGATGGAACACCTTGCGCGTTCCCGACCGGCAACCCGCACCCACCGATCATCCGATCGCGACTGCAGCCCCTGAGTGCCGGACTGCCGGCGCGCCGACAGAGAAAGAGAGAGAGAAAAAAGAGAGAGAGAGAGAGAGAGAGAGAGAGAGAGAGAGAGAGAGTACTCGTGCGCGCGAACGAGCGAGACGGAGAGGGAGATACTGCCGGCGGATCCTGCCCCTACCACGCCGAGAGCCGCTCTGACAGCCGCTATTGTACGCACGGCTCTCGCACGGAGCAGGACGAGAGAGACGGGGGCGGCCGGGGATGCTCGAGCGGACCCTTAAATGGACCCTTGAGCGAAAAGATCGCTCCCTCGGGAGGTTGCCGTGCGACGTCGGCGACTCTGCGGAATGTCGATGGACGCGTAGAAAATTTCATTAGGTGCTCTCACTCTCTCTCTCGTCCGTCGCAGGACCGGCAATTATCGGGAATCTCGCGCTAACGACCGCAGGATACTCTCAGCACACGGCCTTCTTTCTTTCCCTCTCGATCGATGTCGAGCGTCAGGTAAGTAGGTAAAGACGCCGCTCGACATCTCTTCGATGATATATTCACAGTTCGGTCAGCGGAAGACGCGAAACGTCTGGTTTGATCTCGCCTTGTCATAAATGGCCGCTAGGAAGTCCGACCGTGTGACCGAGATGTAAAAGAGATGTGCGATTACTCACGCTACAGCGAGTCCCTCTGGAAGAGCGAAAGGCCCGTGGTCTTGAATAACAACGTGACCAGCGTATCAGCCGGCATCGCGAGTCCTCCGAGACTGCCAATTCTCCCCCGTCAGGCGTTATCTCGCGTCTCTCCCGTCGCCGCTCCTCGCCTCGCTTCCGCCTCGCGTCCACCCTTCCGTCTACCCTCGCCGACAGACGCCACGTGCGTGCCGCCACCAGCACGACCCACGACCCACGAGTCCGTCGACCGGCACACCGTAAATTACCTACATGCGCTACCAGCGACGCGCATCGGAGCACTGCGTGCGCGCACGCAGCGCAGACGCACCCGGTGCGTGCAGCGGTTCCCTTCACTCTCCCATTCTCCCCGTCAGGGCCGCGCAACGGTGACCCCCACCCGCGCCCATTCATCCCCCTGCATTCACGGCGAGGAACCGACGCGACGCCCCGACGCGACAATGCCGCGAACCGAGAGAGCGAGAGAGAAAAGATTCCCATTCCGGCGCGAACCCCCTTAATCAATACTCCCGTTGTCCTCCAGCGACCGCGAGCATCCTCCCGATCCTCCCTGGACCGCCTTCCGCGCGACTTTCGCCGACGTCGCCGAGGATGGGATTTGTGAGAGACGCCGTTCCCTTTGTTTTCATTCCGGGATAAACGGAATGGAAATGCTATATTCTTTTAAGAGGCAGAAAAGAAAATTAATTCTAAAAAGAAACTACATGGAGGAGCCTCTGATAAGGATATTCTATCATTTACCGTTACAAGTCAAGGCATATTTCATCTGTATCGAGGAAGATATTCTATCACTAAGAAAAACATTTATTTTTCTGTTTTTCAGCAACATGCTTATCTTTAACAAAGGATTTCTTGATAAACAAAGTTTCTTGATAATAATCTTAATGTACACCCATCGCAAGTTTTTTAAAAACTCAATATTATGTATTTAGAAGAAAAATTTATTCTATATATATTTAAGAATATTATAAAATGCACTCCAAGCAAACCGAGCTTTTGTTTTAATTTAATGTTCTTGATTTTAGAATTACATTCTTAATTAATAACATAATAAGAAATAATTAATAAGAATGTATACGTTCTTAGTTAAGAAAAGTAAGAAAAATTTATTCTCTATATTTAAGAATATTATACGAGTAAAATTCACTTTATATTCTAAGTAAACCGAGTTTTTGTTTCAATTTGATATTCTTGATTTTAGAATTGCATTCTTAATTAATAATAATTAATAATAATAATAAATAATTAATAAAAAATACATATTCTTAGTCAAGTAAAACGAGAAAAATTTATTTTCTATATCTTTAAGAATGTTATAAAATATACTCTACATCCCAAGCGAACCGAGCTTTTGTTTTAATTTGATATTTTTGGTTAATAGAAAATTAGAATTTTAAATATTATTAATTCTTAATTAGTAATACAATAATTAATAATTAATAAAAAATGTATTCCTAATTAAGAAAAATTTATTTTCTATACAGGTTGTGCTCGGGATTTTTTAGAAAAAAAAATTGCAAAAATTAATTAGATTAAACTAAAGAGAAAAGTCATTTTGCAAAAATCGCAATAGTTATTGAGTTATTAATTATTGAAGATGATCACATTTAGAAGTTCTTTTAATTGATAACTTGAAAATTTGTGTACTTATTTGCAAAATGGTAAAGGACTTTTTTTGTTCAGAATGACGTAATCTACAATTATACGACAGATTGTGTCTAGCGATAGATATGAATGTATTGAACTTTGAATCCTGAATCTTAAATCTGTCATGATAGCTTCATATAATTGTAGATTAAATCATTCCGAACAAAAAAGCGCTTTACCATTTTGCAAAAAAAAAGTACGTCAATTTTTAATTAAGGTGATCATTTTCAATCATTAATAACTTAATAACTATTGCGATTTTTGCAATATGGTACTTGACTTTTCTTCTTAGTTTGATCTGATTAATCTTCACAATTTTTCTTTCCCAAAAGATCTCGGACACCCTGTATATTTAAGAATATTATAAAATGTACTTTACATTCCCAGCAAATCGAGCTTTTGTTTTAATTTGACATTCTTACTTAATAAAATATTAGATTCTTAAGTCATATTAATTCTTAATTAATAATACAATACCTAATAATTAATAAAAATTGTGTGTTCCTAATTAAGAAAAGCTTATTTTCTATATATTTAAGAATATTATAAAACGTACTCTACATTCCAAGCAAACCGAGTTTTTGTTTTAATTTGATATTCTTGATTAAAGTACTAAACTTGTTAGGATTCAGAATATATTTTAAGTAAATTTGATGTTTACGATAAATGGTAGATACGCGAGTGTAAAAAATGTATGAAATACTTGAAACAACGTCCACTTAACATTCACTTCATTCTGCAATATGCATTTTCCTGTGCTTGGGCATAACGGAATGTAGAAGAACAAATCTTGTCCCACACTGCGCTAATAGACGATTCACCCTCCCGATCAGAAAAGAATCACCGGAAAGATTTACGTGAGAGCCTGGAATCGGACCCTTTTCTATTATCAGGGGCAAGCCGCTGCGGCGTAGGAAAAATGTGGCGCGGAAAGTGTCGATTTCCCGAGTGGCTGGTAACAACGGTCTCAATTAGATACCGGTGCATTACGTGTCAACTAGCAATCAACGACCCCCTGGGAGACACGATACGGTCGGCCACGTAGTTTTATCAGAAAGGCTAATTAGTTGAAGGAGTTTTGCCGCGCGCGGCAACGTGCCGGGACAACGCGCGCAAAATGCTGAACGTATATTTACTGAGCCGCAGATTGTATCTGGAAAATATATCCGAGGGGGTTCCGTTTTCTTCCGAGAATCTTGTCGCGAGATTCTCAGGAAGGATTCTTCAGGAAGAAATTGCGCGCGTCTCGAGTACATGAAAGAGAAGTGCTGACGCGCAGCCGAAGGATGACCGACAAGAATTGATACCGGTTATGGATTTGTACACGCAAATGGGATGACTCGGCGGCGAAACTTCGTCGTCTCTCACGGCCGATCAGAGGAGCGTAACCTGAAATCGATAGTTGCCGCTAATAGCCGCTGATTATATTGCTGGCTCTATCATTGAGAATACCACTCGCTCGTTGGTTCCTTTTCTTGCGATTGTGTATATCGAGTACCCCAGGAGCTGCGAAACGTGCCTACCACGCCGCGCCCACACATGCCCGTTTATGAACACTTGGAAAAGCCGCGTGAGCGACGTCAGCAGGTCTAAAGAGCATGCGGGTGAAGGGTCCGAGATTAAATACATTGCTTCGTGTGTCTCTCACGTATTTGCACGTATCACGTATATAAATGTACAGGGTGTATAAAAAGTAGCGGGACAACGAAATATCTCGGAAACTAAGCGTTTTAGAAAAAAAAATGTTTCAGACAAAAGTTGCACGGTTTCGAGGGGGACATAAAACAACTATATCATTTTGTTTATAGATGGCGCTACTTTCGAGATATTTACTGATCGTTACTTTTCTTAAACGGAAACTTCAATTTTCTATTATATCATCTTTTTCTACCGATTAATTTGGACAACTTTCGTCTGAAACATTTCTTTATTTACCTAATATTTTTTGAGATACTTAAGGGAAACCTGGTAAACGATATCTCGCTAACCATTTGTCAGAAGAAAAAATGGTACTGGACTTTTCTACTCTATTTGGTCCCAAGAATATATTGTTACAATAAGGCCCTGACTTTTGTTAATTCGATGATTTTGAAATGTCCAAAGGTCGATAAGTTAACAAAAGTTGGGGCATTATTGTAACAATATATTCTTGAGACCAAATAAAGTAAAAACAGAGTAAAAAATAGAGTAAAAAAGTCTAGTACTATTTTTTCTTCCGACAAATAGCGAGATATTGTATTAAAAAAGTTATCCTTAGTTTCCCTTAAATATCTCAAAAAATCTGAGGCAGATAAAAAAATGTTTCAGACAAAAGTTGTTAAAATTAATTAATAGGAAAAGATGATTTAATAAAAATTGGGATTTCTGTTTAAAAAAAGTAACGATCAGTGAATATGTCGAAAGTGGCGCCATATGTAAACAAAGTGATATAGCTCTGTTTTATGTCCCCCTTGAAACCATACAACTTTTATCTAAAACATTTTTTCCTAAAGTACTTAGTTTTCGAGATATTTCACCGTCTCGGTACTTTTTATACACTCTCCCAGTCAGAACCATAATTGATTCGAAATCGATTTGAAATGGTCGATGAACCATTGAATCAACGTTAATTCAACCTTCATGGACGTCGAATCAACCTTGAGTCAACGTTGTGGTTCTGACTGGGTCTATATTACAAAGAATTTCTCCTCTCTGCCCGCCATCTGCCTCTCTTTCTCGCGCTTGAAATATGCAGAATTTGTCCGAGCTGCGTCCCCGGCAATGTTAAAGACGAAATTGAAGTGTAAAAAATGCAATTGTCAGTAGAAAAGGGGCTGTGTTCAGCGGGAAGAGGCTGTCGAATGTAAGCGCGCACACGGCACAGTATGTAGAATTATCGTACTCCGTAGCGAAATAGACGCCTCCTTCCGCTAACGCGAAACGTTTTCTCTGTAATCAAGAATAATGGACACGTACGCGCATACGGAAATCCATATGGTGCTGCAACATTGTAACATCAAGCGAGCAAACAACGGTACAATTGGACTAGATTCCGCGCGAGAAGGGAGAAAGCAACGGTCGAAATACCTTCGGGTATCCTTGCGTTTCCCCCGCGAGACCTTAATCGACCGAATTTTGTAAACCTCCGAAAGCGCGAGAGAGAGGTCCGTGAGTTTTCCTCCGATCGCATGCATTAATCAGAGTTTACACGTGTTTCTTCGGACATTTCTCGTCTCTTCGATTTCGAAGCAACGCTGGGAAATTCGTCGAAGATGAGCCGCCAATCGGTGCCAGGAGCCACCGGTTGGCGTGCCCGATGACTCGGTCCTAAGCTCCGCCATGCACAGATTATTACAGCTCTTATCGATCTGTACCATGCTCCTATTTTTAATATCCTGTCCCCGAAAGCTCGCGATAAGTCAGCCGAATTATTTTAATCCGTGTATGAGTGTCGCCTGCAGGTACCAAATTGTCTTTACAATAGCGAGCTGAGTGTACGAATAAATCCATACAGTGCAAACAGTTGCAGCAATATTGCCGCAACGTTGCAACATTGCACACGTACATGCAATATATATAATAATAATATAATAATAAATTAAAAAATGTATGCAATGTTGCAACGTCGCAACAACGTTGCTGCAATTGTCTGTGCTGTATGGGA